GAGGCTGGCTACTGCACGCACTTTTGCGGCACGAGGGGCAGCTGCTGCAAGGACGGCGTGCCGGCGGACGGCTGCCCCGAGAAAGGCGCCATGTGCGGCGATCGCATGTTTTGCTGTACCAAGAGCGCGACAGGACGGTCTTGGTCGGCGAGGAGTACTCTGGCGGCGAGCGAAGCGCAGAGTGAGAAAGAGCTGCACGAGGCGATCGAGGCAGCCCTGGCGGCGAGAGATCTGGCGGCAAAGTCGGCCGCCGTTGCCGAGGCAGCAAGGGACGGGGCGGCAGATGCAGCAGTCAGAGCGGAAGAGGCTGCCGCGGCGGCTGCCATCGCGTCGCTTTCGCCCACTCCCCAGTGCTGCCGGAGGAACAGCAGCAGCAGCAGCGGCGGCGGCAGCGGCAGCGACAGCGGCAGCAGCAGCACCAGCAGCACCAGCAGCACCAGCAGCACCATGCGCAGCAGCACCACCACCACCACCACCTCCAGCACCAGCCGCGCGGCCGACGCTGCAGGCAGCAGCCCGCCCGCCGGAGAGCAAGGCGCCGCTGCCGCCTGGAGCGCGCGCGACATGACAGTGCCTGATCCTGAACTTGCGCAGTGGGCAGCGACGGCGGATAAAGTGCTCGACATACAACAAGCACCCCGGGCCCCTACCATCTCCCCCGAAGGCGGAACCCTCGAGGACAGCGTAAAGCAGGTCTTCAGCCGGGAGTTTTGGCTCGACGAGTACCCTGCAGGCTACGACCCTTCCGTCTTCAAGCGGCTCGGCGAGGAGAACGCCACCTGCGTGCTCCTCCCTCCCGAGCCAAACACCACGACGAGCAAGCTCCTCGCGCGCGTGGCCGGGAGAGAGGGCGCCCTCTGGGGCAACGGTAGCCACTGCAGAGCGTGCGGCTATTGGGGCCTTGGCTTCGAGAGCCCGATCACGACCAGCGGCCTGCCGTGCCGCACCGTCTACGCCTTGGTGACGGCTGGCCTACTCAGCCTCCTGCTAGGTGGATTGGCCCTCTCCGGGCGCTCGCGCACCTCGACCCGCGGCGTAGGCAAGGGCGGTGGCTACAAACGAGCCGGCGCCCTCGAGGACCAGGCGGCCAAGGAGGGTGTCAAGCCCAGCATGGACGTCCCGCCCAGCGAGGACCTCGAGAGGGGAGTCCCCGCCGATGAGCCGCTCTGGTTCGAGCAGTGGGTGGGTGAGAACGGTGCGGCGCCGGTCGTCAAGCCCGTCTCGCGGATGGGGAGCGACGCGAAGCCCGTCACGCGGCTAGGGAAGGTCCCGACGCCGCCCATCGGCACGGGCAAGGCTCCTCAAACCTCCGTCGTCGCGGGACCCTCTGTGTCCCGCTCCTCTACTGCGCACGCAGCGAGCAGCATGGGTAGCGCACTCCACCGCGGTGGATCGCGTGCTGCGCTGCCGGGCTGTGGCCAAGGCGGGGGTCCATCGGCCGGGCTCGAGCCACTGCCTGCAGAGCTAGCAGACCAGGGCAGCAGTATGGCCGGACGCGCCTCTGGTGCCACCGCGTGCAGCATGAGCGACGCGCTCTCCAACGCATGCGTGAGCGGGCAGAATGACTGCACGAGCAGTGCCACTACTTGCGAAATTGTGTCGCTCGGAGCCAACATGAGCGATGCGATTGGAGTCGGCTCGAAGCCGTCCCAGCCCGCAGGAGCGTGCACCCAGGCGCTGTTTGCGGCGGAGGCACGGCGGGGCTCGGCCGCCGCGTCCTCGTCGGCACACGGCGCCTCCGCCTCCTCGTCCTCAGCTGCCTATAGCTCGTTCGACCACTCAGCTTCTTGTCACGAACTTAATCTCCACGTGGGCGCGTCATCTGGCACAGCTGAAGCGGACGCCGTGCTCGCTGTCAGCGCCACCGCCGGCACAGAGTCGCAGTCGGCGGCGCTCGTGGATGGGCTGTACGGTGGCGAGAGTGGATTTGTGGCCGCGATGTTGGCACACGAGCGGCCAAGCCACGTCGCTCTCCCCGCCGAATCGGGGATGAACTTTGGGACGGGCTGCGTCGACAGCGTCATCACAGAGGCTGCGGGAGACGCTCGGGAGGCGCCGAGCGAGGCGGAGCGGGCGGTAGAGGTGCGCGGCGCTGCCAAGGAGATAAGCTGCCTCCTAAAGAAGGCGAGCTGGGGCGACGCTGAGGTGGTGCAGGTTATGGACCGGGTCGTGGCGAGGGTGTGGTCAACTTACGGCGCGGCAGGGGTCGAGGAGGTGATGCGGCAGAGGGTCGAGTCGGAAGCCAAGAGCGGCAGGATTGTCGGGTTCCCGTTGGTGCATACGGCGGCGGGCGCAGGGAGGACCGTGGCGATCGAGAGACTGGCGCAACTTGGGGCGTCGGTCGATCACACCAACAGCAGCGACGGTGGCACCCCGTTGGTGATTGCGAGCAGGAAGGGCCACGCGACGACGGTGAAGACCCTCGCCTCGCTTGGCGCCAACCTGAACCTGCAGACGGTGGACGGGTGCACCGCCATGTACATCGCGTGCCAGTACAACAAGCCGCACGCCGTCTGGGCTCTCGTCTCGGCGGGGGCGGACTCCAACTTGTCTCGCCCGGAGGGCGCCTTCCCGGCGTACGTGGCTGCGCAGAACGGCCACGAGGAGTGCCTCCGCATCCTTGCCTCCAGCGGTGCCATCCTCACGCCGCGCACCAACCGCGCCGGGATTCTCTGGTCGCCACGCGACGCCGCGGCTTACCAGGGCCACTACAACATCGTTCGAGTGATCGACTCGCACCTTAACCCCTCCTCCTTGGCCCCGGCACCTCCGTTCCCCCAGGTTGCACCAAGGGATTCTGCCAGCGAGGCGATGTCCTCGTCGATCTCTTGCCATGTCGCGGCGCCATCCACCGAGGCCGCCTCAGCTGCCGCGGATGACCAAGAGGAAGAAAAGCGCAAGGCGTACTTTGAGTGGGCAATATCGACGAGGAACGTGGATGAGGCGCGCGCCGTTGCGTTGACGAGTGAGGACTACACTCGCATCGACGAGCTCAAAGCGAGGCAGGCTACAGCCGTGGGGACCTCTCGAGGAGCATCAGAGGCGTCGGCTTCCGAAGCCGCCGCCGCAGAGGAGGAGGAGGAGGAGAGGCGCAAGGCCTACTTTGAGTGGGCCATCTCGACGAGGAACGTTGGCGAGGCGCGCGCCGTCGCCTTGATGGGTGAGGACTATGCTCGCATCGAGGAGCTGGAGGCGCAATTGGTTTTGCCCGGCGGCGACAGCTGCTGCTGCCCCGGCGGCGACAAGCCCAACTCATCTACGAACGAGAATCAGAGCCAGCCCACTGCGCGGGAGCGAAGAGGCACGCGCGCACTCCGGCGCCTGAGTTTGCCCCGCGCCTCGCGCAGAGGACGCACGGACATGCGCTGAGGGGGGGAGGCTGACCCTGCTCTCACGGACGCACATGACCTGCTCTTCGACGATATGTGGAGCGATTGTCGGATGACCCACACACCGCGCACACCGGCGCGTCCACCCTGCGCACACGCAAAGTACCACATGATCCAGCATCCACGCGCCCCCTCTTATTTGTGTGTTGCTCCAGGCGCTCGGGCTCGACATGAAACGCGGTATATGTTTTGCCCCTTGCGCCTTGGCATAACTCTATTTTAACACGTAAAAAATCGGTCCGGTGCTGCCGCAGCCGGGGCACGCGCGGTTGTCAGGCGTGCACAGTGCCGAGAGCTCGAAGCCGTCGACGCCGGCCGCCCTTGCCGCCGCCGCGACAGCCGCTTTGTCCGCCGCATCGAGCGCGCCGGATCGTGAGCGCGTGTACAGCACCGCACCCGAGTACCCGCAGTCGGCATCGTTGCAGCCGCAGTAGTAGACCAAAATGTAGGTCTCGGGCCGGTGCGCGATCACATACCAGTCGTCAGCATAGTGCAGCTGGGCGGGCGGATTCCCATGGTTGGCAAGGTGGCCGGTGGCGTTTGACTGGGCAAAGGACTGGTTAACCTCACGGCGCACGTACTCGCAGCGCTGCGGGAACGAGCAGTGCAGGTCACGCTTGACCGAGTAGCGGAGGGCGCCGTGCAGCCGCTTGGGCTCGCCCGCCGCGCCGAGTGAGAAGGTGTGGCGCTGGCAGTCGAAGCAGTCAAAGATGGGGTTGAGACCGCGCGTGACCCACCAGTCGCCCTCGAACGCCGCAAGCTCGAGCGCAGGCAGCGTGTTGCGCGGCACGGCGCAGCGCTGGCGCCGCTGTGGCACACAGTGATGGTCCGAGATGGTGCAAATTGAAAAGGCGTCGATGGCCGGTGAGCCGCGAAGCGGCGTGTGCAGATCGGCGCACCGCTGGTTGCACGCCAGAGCCTCGGTGCCCAGCCCGCAGCCGGCGTTGCAAAGGCTCCAGCCTCTGCAAGCCGTGTCGGCGAGGCAGCGGGCCAGCTGCGCCCCGCAGTGCTCGACGACACACGCGCTCTGCGAAGCGGCGCGCGGGAGCTGCGAGGCGAGGAGCAGGAGCGAGAGGGGCGGGACGGGAGAGGGCATGCCCACACAAGCGTCCCCAGCGGGAACACGAGCAGAATACAACGATCGGCCGCCAGGATTCGAGGGTTTTAGGGGGTAGGGTATAGTGCCCAGGGCCCTTGCACCACGACCATACCCCCCCAACCCCCACCCCACAGCACACGCGTACAGTAACCGTGCTCCTGGAACTGTGACGTCACTTCTTATGGATGCGGCACTAGGGACGCCCAATGTTTTCGTAAACGTAGAAGCCACTCTCTCGCTTGTAGAAGCCACGACTGCGTAGTCGTGCCCCCCCCCCCCCCCCCCCAGCACGCCATAGAGCCGGTGTGTACCGCGCACCGCACACACTGCCAGGGGCGCCGGCCGCAGGCGCCCCAAGCGGCGCGGAGCGCCGCCGCAGGCGGCGGACAGCAGGTGCGCGAAATTAAACGCCATTTTCGGTTCCGCGGTTTTGCCACTTGACACACACACCACGGACCACGCACACACTCGAACACACGACACACATACACACACACACACACACACACACACACACACACACACACACACACGCACGCACACACACACACACACACACACACACCTCCGCACGTCGCACGAGTTACAACTGGCGGAGCCGGGGGGCTAAAAACGTAAAAGGAATTTCTGGTGAAGAAAGAAAAAAATGCTCGAAAAAATCGGCGCCTGCGGCGGGCTGTGGGGGGGGGGTGAGGCCCGGGGGTCGAAAATGAAAGTTCCGCCAGGTGCGCGACCTGATCTTAGAATCACTCCCCAGAGTACTTGAGTTGTCAAGTTGTCGAGGTTTTGCTTCCGACTAGATAGTGTGGGGAGGGGAATCCTGCGCATGGCCATGGGTTCGAACAATAATGGCATTTGGAAATAATAGCGGAATCAGCTGCTGCACTCGCGTTGCGCATCTCTGGGCGAACGCGGCGCGGCACCACGATTCGGCGAGGTGCAGGTGGAGAAGGGGACCGGGCCGCGCAGCGAGGGGGAGCCGTCGCGGGAGAAACAATCACCAAAAGGCCGATGACGCGACTGCGCGGTGGAGCCCGCTCGTGCAATGACTAGCTGGGCGGCTCCGCCCTGCTGCTTGTCGAGTCGTGTCTGCCACGCAATACGCGACTCCAGCTAATACCTACCCACAGCCCAGCTACACCCACCGTTGCTCATGCAGGGCACTGTTGGCGGAGAAGAGTGTACAAGTGGTTTCGAACGCTCTCTCTTGAGTGTGCGCCGAACCCGCGAAGTGTTGCTCAGGATGTCGTGACAAAATGCCAAATGCCAAATGCATATGGCTCGGACCTTCTTTCACACCTCGGTGATGCTGGACTTGGGCAGGATGAGGTTGAGGATGAGGGCAATGAGCGTGCCTACAGCATTGCCAGCGCGAGTCCCCCGCCGCGAGCGCAAGAGGGGTCGAGGACCCCCTCGTTGCAGAGGCGCCGATGGAGTACGGCGTCTTGAGGGCGAGGAGGACGGCCTGGCGGAGGGACTTGAGCCCCGTGTTGAACTCGCAGCTTATCACCCAGTCCGGGCCCTTGTCCAAGTCGTAGACCTCGGTGCCCGACTCGCAGACTCGCTTCAGCGGCCAGAAGCCGTAGTTCATCTTGAGCCAGCCGCCGGCAAAGGTGGCAGACCCGCCGCCCTCGAAAAAGTTGGGCTGCGATGCGGACAGAGGGGAGTGGGTCAGGGGGATTAAGGGGCGTGGAAGTGGCGAGGCGGGGGCGGCGGCTGGAATGCAGGAGATATCAGGTGTCGTGAGGACAACTCATATGTCTGAAGGGGGGGGGGGGATGGGAGCGGGGGCATGCACGTTGGGGGGGGGGGGGGGGGGCGGGCGCCTGCATGGCGACTCCGAGGGCGATGCCGAGCGAGAAGGAGAGGATGATGCGGTTGCGGCGCTTGATGCCGAGCTTGGAGAGCACGATGATGCCCGAGACCATGACGTTCGCAAAGAGGAACGTGACCATGCCGCCCACGATCGGGTACGGGATGTCGGCGAAGAAGCCGCCGACGGGGCCAATCAGACCTGCGTCGCATGCCACCAAAACAGGCTCAGGGCGGGAATGAAGGGTGTCGGATACACAGCACGCGTTTAGCTGATATAGCTGAGTACAGCGATTCCGTGCCCTCTCGAGTGCTGGAGGCGGAGTACAAAGATCTGTCTCCGCATCTAGCAAGCCCGGCCGAGGAGGACGAGCCATAACGCGGTGGCGAGGCCGGATGCGCGCGACGCGCAGCGCGTGATCGCGATGACTCCGCTGTTCTGGGAGTAGGTCGTGTTGGGAGACGTCGTGAAGAGGGCCGCGAGGAGCGAGCTGACGCCGTCCGCCAAGAGGCCGCCTGGAGGGGGGCGGGGGGCAAAGGTGGGTATGAGGGGCGTGTATGGGAAAGGGAGCTCGGGATTCTTGTCGCATGAGACGGAAGGGGGGGGGGGGGGGTAGCCTTGGACGCGCGTGTCGGCGTCGGGGCCGTACGACGGCAGCTCGGACGCGTCGAGCGTGGCGCCGATGTCGCCAACCGTCTCCGCGCTGCGGGGTGGGGACTAGGATGGGCAGAGGCATGCTTGCCTTTGGGCGGTGTGTGTGTGTGTGTGTGTGTGTGTGTGTGTGTGTGTGTGTGTGTGTGTGTGTGTGTGTGTGTGTGTGTGTGTGTGTGTGTGTGTCTCCGTAGGCGGGGCGTTGTTCGCGCGGGTCAGGGGAGGGGTGGTCCGGGGCTGGGCAGGTGCACGTCGAGACGAAGAAGGCGAGGATTAAGGGGAGGAGGTAGGACGCGTTGAAGCCGAGCGGGAAGCGCCGCACCCAAAAGAAGACGATCGGCGTCTCCTCGGCGGTGAGCTTTGGGGGGAGGGGGAGGAGCGCGGGGGGGTCAGTAGTCGCGCCTCAGTCGCCGGCCAGGGTTAGTGCGGGGCGGGAAGCAGCGATGCGCAGGTGGGGAGTGAGATGGGGCGTGAGAGGCGCCTTTGTGAACCGGAAGTTGACGTAGTCGTGCGGCTCGGGGTTCGGGTCGTCCTCGGTTGCCGGGGGCGTGACCGAGAGGCCCATCGAGATGAAGTAGGCGAGGAGGAGCGAGATGACGACGTTGGCGTTCTTCCAGAAGGGGGCGCCGAAGATCTATAGTAGCAGTGGGCAACCTTGGTTCCAAGGATCGGGCCCCTCTCCACGGCGCCCTCAAGCGCCACAAGCACCTCGATCAAGACCATGATGCAGACGACCATGAAGCCCATGCCGACGTGCTCCGGCGCGCCGGCGGCCAGGTGGTCGACGTCGCCGTTCTGGCACATCTGGGGGAGGCCTTTCCAGAGGGGGAGCTTGGAGAGGTCGTTCTCCATGCAGAAGACGCCGCCGCCCCAGTACTTGATGCCTGCGTTTGCGCGGGAGAGTGGGCGGGTGGGGCTCAACTTGGGTCTCGGCTCCCCCCCCCCCCCCTCTTGTTTCTCCCTCGCCCTCTCCCGACCTCTCTGGCCGACCTGCGCCCGTGAGGCTCGCGCCGATGCAGGTGATGGCGACGCCGCACACGATCGGCGGGAAGACCTTGCCGATCAGCCGGGGCGGGAGGAGGGCGAAGCCAATCTCGAAGAGGGCGGCGACGCACGCGGTGCCGAGGAACTCGCCTGAGGTAGAGGAGGAGAGAGGCAGGGTGTGCGGACGGGACAGGGCAAGGCGAGGGCGAGGGCGGCGAGGGCGGAGGCGGAGGTGCAGCAGCGGTGGGGTGCGGGGCGCAAGGCGAAGTGGGAAGTGGGTGGCGGGAGGTGGGAACGGGGGGTGGCGGTCGCCGTACGCGGCCACGGCCCCGCCCGGCTCGCCGACCCCGGACATGGTTGCCTCCCGGGCGATGGGGAGGAAGGCGAAGGACGGGCCCAGCACCTGTGAGGGGGGAGGGTGTTCGGGTAGGCCGCGGGCAGAGGAGAAGGTTCGGCGTTTGGGGGGGGGGGGGGGAGGGAGGGGGAAGCCGAAGGGGGAAGGGAGGGGTAAGGGAGGGGTAAGGGAGGGGTAAGGGAGGGGGAAGGGAGGGGGAAGGGAGGGGGAAGGGACGGGGAATGGAGGGGGAACGGAGGGGGAAGGGAGGGGGAAGGGACGGGGAATGCAGGGGGAAGGGAGGGGCAAGGGAGGGGGAAGGGAGGCGTAAGGGAGGGGCAAGGGAGGGGGAAGGGAGGGGGAAGCCGAAGGCGAAGTCAGGGGGAAGGCACGGGGAAGGGAGGGGGGGGGGGGGG